GACCAGCTGCAGCGGTCCCACAGAGTCCCGGACCAGCTGCAGCGGTCCCACAGAGTCCCGGACCAGCTGCCGTGGTCCCACAGAGTCCCGGACCAGCTTCCGCGGTCCCACAGAGTCTCGGACCAGCTTCCGCGGTCCCACAGAGTCTCGGACCAGCTGCCGCAGTCCCACAGAGTCCCGGACCAGCTGCCGCTGTCCCACAGAGTCCCGGACCAGCTGCCACGGTCCCACAGAGTCCCAGACCAGCTACCCCAGCAGCTCCCCAGGCCTCCACGTCGCCTGCCCCAGCAGCTCCCCTGGCCTCCACGTCGCCTGCCCCAGCTGCTCACCAGGTCTCCACGTCACCTGCCCCAGCAGTTCGTCTCCCAGGTTTAGTCTCCATTAGAGGATGACATTTTTTTCGGGAGTACTGCCGGTCACCTGAATCCGGCCGGATTCCGGTGGGACCGGAGTCAACTTTATTATAACTCCCGTTATCGGGACCGGACAAGACGAAAACTTAACGGGAGCAGACGGGAGCGGGAACCAACATAGGACAATAAAAGAAATGGGCAAAAAATAAATCAATTTCAGACAGGCAGCTGTGCCAACAGCTTCCGGCGCCTTTTCCAGTCGCTACTTCCAGCCGCCTTTTCCAACCTCTTTGTTTACTGTATCAACCAACAACATGGAGGGAGCATACGCCAGTGGAGAAACCGAGAGGGTAAAAAATATTTTGCAACGCAAAGTTAGGAATAATGACGCATCTGTTAGGTTAACAGAACTGTCAGGGAATGCGCTAATAGTTCAGAACTTTATGCGAGTCGAGTGTGACGTGTGAAGACGCTCTACGCTGCTTGCAAAACATCCATCCATCCATTATCTTTACCCGTTTATTCCATTTTGGGTCACGGGGGTCGCTGGTGCCCATGTCCAGCAATCACTGTGCGAGGGGTGGGGGACACCCTGGACAGGTCGCAAGTCCATCACAGGGCCACATAGAGACAAACGAGACAAACAACCATTCACTCTCTCACTCACACCTAGGGACAATTTAGAGTTACCAATCAGCCTAACATGCATGTTTTTGGTCTGTGGGAGACAACCGGAGCACCCGGAGAAAACCCACGCATGCACGGAGAGAACATGCAAACTCCATCCAGAAGGCCCCTTGCCCGGGGTTTGAACCAGGGACCTGCTCGCTGAGAGGCAGCAGCTCTACCAGTTGCGCCACCGTACTGCCCGCTTGCAAAACATGTTTAGTTATAATAAAGTACGTCACTGACTCTGGGACGAGTGGTCTGAAGAGGCACACTTGCAAGGCTGATTCTGGAACGAATCAGCCAAGCATTTCTTCATTCATTAAACGAAAAGTACCGTCGGGAGTCAAGTCTCGTATGACCAACAAAATAGCCCGCATGTGCGGCGTAGATTTGAGACCATTTGCTGTAGTAGATGGGAAAGGTTTTATCGACGTCATACAGGAGGCAATCGACATTGGAGCAAAGTATCGAAACAACGGTGAGACACAAGACATACTGCCATGTGGACGCACGGTCTCCCGTCATGTTCAAGGAGAATATGATAAAATTTAAAAAATGGTCATGGAAGAGCTCCATCAGGTATGTCTGTCACGCCGCACTTTTTTATAATACAGTACAAACATTTTACCTTGACATCATACAGTAGACTATAATTATAGATTTCCTAACACTAAATCTGTATTTTCTCCTCATTTTAAACTGCTTAATCTCTCACCTATAAATTAGTCATCTGTTTTACATGTAATATACTTTGAGAGCTAATAACAATATACGTAATTCCTTTGGTGCAGATTAGAGACCATGCAATCACGACAGACCTTTGGACAGAGGAAAGGACAAACACACACTACATCACCGTTACAGTCCATTACATCTTGGATGGGAAGATGGTGAACCGTATTCTGGCCACAAGGGAGATGGAGGGTGTCAAATCCAATGAACACATCAGAGGGACTGAGGAGAAAATCCTTCAGGTATCTCACACTCAAATGAGATAATTATCTTTATTTACATGACATATTAGCTTTGTAGAGATCTAGTATAGAGCTGTATGAAAGGGTAAATGAGGCACAGATTGTAGTGTAAAGCGCTTTGAGTGTCTTGAAATAAGATAGAAAGGCACCATATAAGTACAGTCCATATGCAATAAATATTGCCAATTAATTCGTAACATTGGGAAAAGTATGAGAACATGGTGCAGCAATAACAAGAACATGTCACAGAAGGAACAATAGAAAAGACAAATATATATATTTTTCATTCAACCTTTACAGGCTAACCTCATTGAGTCACGAGGATTAATTTTCAAGAGACCTGTTCCAACCCAGACAGACAGAACATATAAAGTACAGACAACAATAACAGTGAACAACAATAACGATAAACTACAG